TGAGAGTGGGGGTCCTTCCCAGAGGAGATGGGCCAGTGGGATTCTGGACAAGAGGCCCCAGAGAGCTAAAGGGAACTAGCCAGGGGTGTGTGACATGAAAAGGTAAGATGGGTGTGTAAAAGCGTAGACTCCAGGCCACTATTTCCACATCCCGTGATCTGTCTCAGGAGTTGGGACATCGGACAGTTCACTGCCTTCTTGCTCTCAGTCTGCTGCTAACCAAGGGAGAAGGAAGGGTGGGCGTCCAGTAAGCCCTGAAGTCTTTCCTTCCACTCCTGCAGAGTCCATCCAGAGGCTGCCCCTCCTGCTCCATTCGCACACCTATAAAGAGGGATGGGCTTTCCAGGTCTTCATAGGAGGCTACCCTATAAACTTGGTGGGATTTGAGAGTGAGGAGCATATGAGGAGAAGCCACATTTCCTCTTTTCCTGGCAAGAAACTTACTAGGATAAATAGTGACAAACAATTCAATTACCCAGTCCTAGCTTCACTCTGGTGAACATGATATACTTCATTTTTTCCTTTAGGAAACAGTGGTAACATTTCCTGAAGGGTGCCATGAAATTGTTGTAGGGCAACCTTATGGCCTCTAGCAATCCTCTGTACTACAGACTGAATCTTGTCCTATCCTGCACATCTACACTCCAACTTGTTCAGGCCCATTGCTGCAGTCACTGTGTGTCAACCTATCCTATTATTATTATTATTATTATATTTTGGTTTGCTTACAAAGTTTGTATACACTGTGTTTCACACTATCCCTCATTAACATTGTGTTTCATACAATCATTCTCATTCATTACATTTTATAAAATTGATCACCATTGGACATGCCCACCATTACCCTAACTTTTCAGCTCCCCGCTGGATCTTTCCCGTTTCTTTACCCCTTCCCTCCACCCATCTCTTCTAAGGTCTTCCTCTCTTCTGCTGAATCCCTACTTTTCCCAGAATGATCTCTTTCTCCAAGGATTTGCCCCTTTGGGCAGCATGCCTAAAGCATGCCAATCAAATTTCGCCACCCTTGCCTCTAAGGCACACTCTGGTTGTGCTTCCTCTGGAACAGATTTGTTTGTTCTTTTGGCAATCCTTGGGATATACTCAATACTCTTTATCAATACAATTAAAATCCCTTTTTGATCTTCCTTATTTGCTGCTCAACATTCAGATGTATAAGAAGCAATTGAAAACACCTTGGCTTGTATCAGGCACACCTTAGTCTTTAAACTGACATCCATGCTCTCTAGCACTTGAAAGAAGTCTTTGACAGCTGACTTGCTATGACATATTGTTGTTAGGGGCCATCAAGTTGTCTATGATTCATAGCAGTTCTATGGACCATAGATCTGAACTTTGCCCTTTCCTGGTGCATGGGGCCTGGAAATAAGTAAGAAGGGGCACCCTAGAAGACCAAGGTACAGACTAAAAGGGGATGATAGGTCTACCTTTCGCTAATCAAAGCTCTCTCACCTTTTGTATAGGGTGTGTACAACCTGCAGAGCAAATTGGTCATACAGATTTACCCTTCCTGTCACCAACTCGCCTGTACCTGCTAAACTCTCAGCATCCTTCAGAAGGACTGAAAAGAGGAGATAACAGAGAATATAGGTGTTTACAGAGCACCTGTTGGGGAAATATGAGTTAACTTACACTGTTTGTTTTCCTTTTAGGACAGCTCACCAACATTTCCTTTACATACCAAGTGGAAGGATGGCATTCAAGCCTGATCCTGTGTCTCTTTACAGATGACAGCCAGATCCTAGAGGTTGGGACTCCCAACCAGATGGGGGAGATGGAGCCCGGCCAGCCCCCCACCCTGCCCCACTGAGCAAAAAGCCATTACTGAGAGGTACATGATCTCTCTCCAACCCGGGAAGGTCCAGGTCACAGTCGTCAACCTGCAGCCTCTTCTGTCTTGACCACTGTGCTTTACTCAATTGCAGCTCAAAGCAAGGAAAGTATTTTACGCACAAGCCTGCATAGCTGCCCAGCCCCATTATAGCAACTTTCTAATCATGCCTTAACTCCAACCCAGCTTTGTCCGGGAAAACCTTCCAAGACGCCATTAATCTATTTTGCAGCAGAAGATTCCCTGTGTGACTAAAATGTCCTATATGTCGGAGCCCATGAGGGTGGGGGTACAAAGAAAAGTTTGATGTTCTAGAACTTCATCCCAGAGGGACGTGTAAGAACTAAAGACCCAGAGAACCATGCATCAAAGTGGAGCTGAGGGAAAAATGACTGGAGAAGCTCCTGGGTCTCCTTGGATGCTGACAAGCTGTGTTACCTTGAGTGAAATACGTATCCTCTCTGAATCCCTTAAAATAGGAGGAATAAACCAAGCTTCAAGATTCCTTGCAGCCACCACTGATGATGAGTTGAGGACACCTGTCTAGCACCTCTTGGCTACAGGAAGACACTAAGTAGCAAACCTGCTCTCACTTGGTGGTCAGCTTCTCTAACTTTCTGGCTTGACCACAATGCCTCCAAATACTCTCAGACTCCCAACTACCACACCCATTCCAAAATTCTCCTTTGTTCAAAGCCTCTCGCCCCAGGGAACCGAGCACCCCTCACCCTCCTCTGCAGGCATCCAGTCAGATCCTGCACTTTCTCCCTTACCTTGTCCCTGTGCCAGGAGTGTGGGCAGAAGCAGGACCAGCAGCGCCTGCTGGAAGGACAGCAGCATGGCGAGCTTGCCACGGCGTGGGTGGCCTCCGGAGTGGCCTTCAGGGCGAGCACGGAACCGGGCCAGCCTGCCCACACTCCTCCAACCTGATGCTGGGCCGAAGTGCCTCCTTCTGAGGATGCAGCCTCTCACTGCACAAGCCCCCAGGATTGGGAAGCAGCCAAATTTCCCTTGCAATCAGTCTTTCAGCAGGATCAGGTTTCGGTCAGGAGGGAAGGGGAGGAAACCACTGAGAGGGGGGTTGATGTCACTGGGCGGGAGCTTAGGCCACACCATTCAGTCAGGTGGCCTGATCAAGGTTCCCCAAGACTTTCTGGTGACAAGGACCCCAGAAGCCTGTGGGACAAGGGTGCAGCCTGTCTGCCGGGATGTGCTGCTGGCTGCTGCCTCTATTTACAACCCAGGCAATGTGTCTCTTTCCATTGGTCCAGGGTGGGGTGGGCAGAGTTAGATAGGAGTTGTTGTTGTTATTATTGTTACGGGCTGTCAAATTGCCTGTGACTCATAGCGACCCTGTGTACAACAGCCCTAAACTCTGCTCTATCCTGTGCCAGTCTCACTGTCTCCAACACACCTACCCCTACTACCCCAGCCATTGAATCAATCTATCTCATCCACAGTCTTCCTCTCTTGCGTTGTCCCTCCACCTTCCCATTTCCTGCTCTGAAGGATAAAGTAGGCTCCTTCAGCACCTTTGCAGACAGAGAATTTGGAGTCATCACACAGCGATCCTTTCGTTCTCCTTTTAAACATTTATATTTAAAGATTTAATTTTTTTTCTATAGAAAATGTATGCCAATGTCTAGTAAAAACAGAAAAATGTATGGCCATTGTAGAAAAAATATTTTAAATAATCTGTAGGTGTACTGCTCAGAGAATGTCACTTTTAAAATATTTATTAATACTCTTCCATGATTTACTCCCTTATTATGTAACAATGAAGTAAATAAATATACGTATAATTTTGTATTTACCCTTTTTCTTGTGCTTAGTTTCATTTTATGAGCATTTCAACACTTAAACTTTTCATTGTGCTTTGAGTGAAAGTTAACAGAGCAAATTAAATTTCTGTTTATCCATTTCTACATACTGTGGTCCGTGAGCTTGGCTCATGCCCCTTGGAACAACCCTACCTCCTCCCTCCTTGTGTTTCTCATTCTATTTTTCCTCTTCCTATCCCGTCCTGCCTCTAAACTTTGCACCTGCACAAACATTATCCTTTTGATCTTGGATGGTTAATTGCTCTAAGGAGTAAGTTCTTTCCTGTTGTTATTGATTGCTTTATGTTGTTTGTTATGTGCCTTCAAGTGCTACAACTCCTAGGGGCTTGATAAACAACAGACCTAAAGGAACTTTCCCCTAGCCTCATAATCTCTACATAGCTCAAGTTCATTGTTACACTCAACTTCTCGTTAATCCACTTTGTTGAGGGGCTTCCTCTCTTAAACTGATGATCTAATTTTCCCCAACATGATGACTTTTCCAAGGACTGACACCTTCTGAAAATGCCCAAAGTGTCTGAGACAAACTTTCTCTATCTTTGCCTGTAAGAAGCTCCCTGGCTTCACTTCATCTAAGATAGTTGGTCTTGTTTTTTCTGTTGTTGGGTTTTTTTTTTATTTTGTTTTGTTTTTTTTGCAGCCCAGGGAATGTTCAGTACTCTTCTCCAACATCACTGTTCAAAGCATGATCACCTTATCAGTCTTTTCTGCCGATTGTTTGGCTAGAAGTTGAATTATGGTGATGATTTCAATTTTGGTCTTAAAGTAACCAAGAACCATAGTCTTAGGAGTTCCCCTAGTCTCTATCAGACCAGTAAGGCTGATCTCTTTTTTTCTTTTTTAGTTTTATTCCACAATTGTCTCCTTCTATTAGGGACCTTTGTGATTCCTTTCAAAGTTAACACTGTTCTTTAAATGCCCTTGCAAAGAAGTCTTCTTTTTCCCTTTGTAAATTAATAAGCAAATAGCTACCTCAGATAATCAACTGTGAACCATGAACATTTCTAAGCAGATAATTTCTATTGGAAAAAAATGCATCCCAATTCACCATTTGAGTAAATGTGAACTCTTCTACCTTAAGTGTGCTGAAAGCATAATGCGCCTGTATTGATTACAACAAGCTTCAAACACACAAACATTTTATTCCTTTTAAATCTTCCCCAGTTGAACCTAAGTGTGGAATGAGCTAGGAGAACTGCAAGAACAAATTTTCTGAATTGTAGTCAGGTTTCAAAAAGCAAACAAAACTAACTTGTTGAAGGCTGTGCTTTCCCTGACGCTGTCAACAGACCCTGGACTCTTCAATCGAGCTCATGGAACTGAGCCAGTTCCCACCCTGACAAATGGGCAAGGCAAGGAGAGTCAGGCTGCCCCTGGGCCTGCAGGCTGGGAGCTTGCAGAGTTCAACCTCTAGAATAATGTGAAGTGGGTAGATTCCCAAATGCATTCCAAGCCCAACACCTAGAGTGATTAACATCGCTTCTGGCGCTCCTGCTCTCCTGCACCTTTAACAATTGGCACTTGGAAATAAGCTGTAAGTCTCTAGAAGAATTTTCAGAATTTATATGCATTATGAAATCAGCACACAACATTATGCCATTTATTGGTGGTCCCTTCTAATGGCCTTTAGCAGTCATACAGACAAGCACACAATTATGATGGAAATTAATGCTTAACCTCTCTCCATGCATACCTTATCAATTATCTCCCAGGACTCCCATTTTGTGGTTTCTGGGGATCATTATTTATCTTCAGGAGACCTCCTCTATCTTTTGCTTCAGGAGGAGGACAATATGCCCTGAACCATTCCTTTCATAGAGCCCGTGTTTGGAGTTCGAGGGCCAAGAAGAAAGCTAACGATTCAGGCATTAAATTTTTTCTGAAAGGGACAACAGTATAATGGAGCGGGAAAGGCAAGAAGAGGAAGAAAAGTTAGCGAATATAAAAGAGTAGAATCCATCTGAATTAGATTGAAATTCACCCTCTACAGCGTAGTATTAAGTGCTGTAGAGTTAAGTGGTATATAGTTACTATTTGCTCTGGTAGCCTAGTGGTAAGAAGCTATGCTGCAATAGAATCCAACGATCCATAAAAAAAATAATTCACCATGACCAAGTGGGATTCATAACAGGTATGCAAGGATGGTTCAACATAAGGAAAACAAT